CAGGCATCCTCGCACCACAACAGCGCTGTCAACTGGTCGACCTCGTAGGGATTATCTAGCCCTTCACCAAGCCGGTCTAGAGCCTGCATCATCTTGCGGGATAGCATGTGTCGCTTAATACAATGAATGATTCCTTGGTCCTTCTCCAGCGGCCGCCCCAGCAGGACTGCACTTGACTTGATTATGCGGCATATCGTTGTCTTGCCTGGGGCGGCCGGGAGGCTGAACTCCGTCACAGCCCACTCAGCCAGGCCCCTGTAGGAGAGAGCAGGTGTGCGGGCTGCCTTGTCGAGGATGCCCACTTTCTCAGACCAAGTGAGGCGGAGACGCTTGGACGGTGTGGACTTCATGGGTGGAGTGGGGGAGGAGGTGGGCTTGTGGGGCGAGGTGCAAAAGCAAAAGTGCGAGTCTACCACTACGGTACATGTAGTTTGAAGTCTAGTAAGATCGCTAAATGCGCGCCATTTTTCAAACGAGGGTGGAGAGCTGATGATTGGCACTGGATTTTTCATCTTAGAACCTCAGTACCTTGCAGTACCTTGCACATCCCCCTATCGCCACATCGACTGGAAAATAATATTAAATATGTGAGGGTATTAGTTGTACACCCGTTCCTTATTCGGGCAGAATTCTGTACCTACTATTATTGTGCTTTGCAGTTATTTTGCCGACCATTTTAGACGCTAAATATGGCAAAGCCTGCTCCTAAATATGTGTGAAAGAAGATATACGACCTGCTAAAATTATGCATAAACCCACCTCCTCATATATATATCGACGTGGGAGGGCCTGTCAGCAGCCATGCATTGGCCCAGTACACCACCGTCCAGGATCACCAGCACATCCACCCTCTTATGCATAATTGCCGTGTGTGTAGGTGCTTGTGGATAAAAACCGACAGAATTGCAGCTGCACAGCCACAATTGCACTTTCAAAAGTGCAATTGTGGCGCTGTTAGCGTAATTCTAGGCCTCCACCCATATATGCACCTCGAGTTATCGTAAATCTAGCAAGTGGTCGCTATAAATACAGCAAATCTCGCCTCATATTCCCAAAATCATTGCAAAGCACAATAAAATAGCACATCCGGGTACGGGTTGGGGTGACGCCCTCCCGGAGAGCGGCGCCGCGGCGTCGTTGTCGGGGGCGCTAATGCGGCTCCGCCGCGGCGCTCTCAGTTCTTAGACGGACAAGGATGTGAGGCCAGTATCGCCGGGCTGAGAGCTCGACGCGGGTACGACTCGCGGCGGCGGTAGCGGACGAACCAAGCGCGCTCAGTGCTCAGCCACCGACTTCCTGTGGGTTGATGACTACGGCATCGCCCAGGAAGCTGATTCGGCGGCGAGGCGCGAGCGCTCGCGAGGGGGGGACTGCTGCAGCCGTCAATCGTCAAGGGAAGGTGCTCAAGAGGATCAGCATAAGGCGCAGGAACGACACAAGACCGAAGAACAAGGGCGTGCTGGCTGAGACTGCGTGGTTTGTTGCGGCCACGACAGCAGTTGCCGGGGAAAGGAGTTGTGGCCCGAGTACCTAGCTGAACCAAGACTACAAGACCGATACGGGTGACGGAAGCAGCGGACATGCCGCCACCAAGGCCTAGCGCGTCTCCGCGAAGGGGGAGCCATTCATTGCCGACGTATAGGCCTTTCAACGTTACGATGTGTCGTTATAGAATACCGTTAAAAACCTCACGTTATCGTTAAAAGCTATCGCAAAGATACCGTTATTTGACCGCGACGCTTGAGCCGTGGGGGGCATGGCGATCCCCATTGCGCGAAATCCTGAGAGCGGCACATCTTGAAAGGAAGTCGGGCTGCTATGGATCCGAGGCGGCCATCGGCATCATTTGTTTGGGATCTTGGTGGCGCACCACATGAAGCAAGCCACCAGCTAGAAGACGAGCGACCTACAGTGGGTTTAGCACCGCCGTACTATCTTCAGAGCGAAGGCAGGCATCGGGAAGCTGTCGTGGGACGTACATTCAGTACTTCATTCATGCGGAGCCCTCCAATTCGAGCCCGGCTTACGTACCACGACGAAGAAGACCGCTACAACGGCATGGAAGCGACCATCGGGTTCGATAGTAACTTGGACGATCAAGCATCGGTCCAAGACCAGAATCGTGCTTCTGAGAATCTAAATCAAGTCCACGGGGATTCGCGGAGCCCGTTTGTGTTTGGTGTCGTTGTTTCTAGGCGCTCGGCACGCAAGCAGCAAGCCTCCACCCAGAGTTGCGAGCAACGCAAGTGCCGGATCGGAGACATCGAGAGCTGCAGCAACTTTCAAGATGCCGTATACTCTCCGGCGGATTCCAACAAGCGAATTGCTACACGTTCTAACAGTGCCACCCGTAGTCGCCGCACAAGTACACTAAGCGGTACCCAGCAAGAGCGCACGAAGACACCGAATAGCGCGCAGCAAGGGCGCAATGGAAAGCCACCCCTTACTTCTCAGCTAAATCGCAGTTTGCAGTCGCCCAGCAGCGATCAAAGAGGATGCCCTCCAACCGGCAAGTCGCCGAACGCAGCTCCGAGAGGGCGTAGCGGCAAGTCACCCAACAGCGCGCAACAAGCTCGCAGTGGGAAGTCGCCAAGCACGGCGCAACGCAGAGACCGCGGCAAGACAACAAGCTCTGTACGGCGCGTGCAAGAAAGCACCCTGTCTGCTCCTTCGGCGCTGGCAACAAGTGCCGAAATAGTGCTGTTCGAAATGCACAAAAAACGCAAGCCCGAGCACTCGCGGTTTATTCAGCTCGTCTGCAAAAACGAGTACATCGGGATGAATATCAAGGACGTACGATCGGAGCATGCTAGGTGTGCATACTGCAACAAGTGCGGAGAAGAAATTGTTTTCGAGAAGTCCAACACCGCCCATGTCACCAGGCACATGAAAAAAAAGCACCCGAAAGAACTCAAGAAAGCAGCCGAAGAGGAGAAAGCGCGCAAGCAAAACTTAATCCAGCCGCTGATGCACCAAGAATTGGGGGCACTCAGGAAACCGGTCGCTGTACTACCGCCAGCAACCGAAGAGGAGCAAGCACGAGCTGATGACCTGGCATCGATCTGGATTGCAAAGTCGATGAGACCGTTCACCATTTCGATGGATAAGTACTTTCGCAAGTATGCCCACTACCTCAACACTTCGCAAAAGCGCATCAAAATCATCAAGCCTTGGAAAGCACGTGCTGGAGTTGAAGTGATTGCTGCCCGGCTTCGTGATGTTCTCAAGGAGAAGATTGCTGTCCAGTGCATTTTTTACTCAGCATCAGCCGACATTTCGACGTCCAAAAGTTAATCTGCTTCACACCCCATTAATTGGATGAGGAGTTTCGTATGTGGAGCTGGGTGCTCGAGGTACGGTACTTGCCAGGGAAGCACGATGGATGCCGGATTGCCGAATCGTTGCGAGCAATTATGAATGAATGGGGGCTTCCTATTGAAAAGTGCGTGAAGTATCTTCGGGACGGTGCGTCAAATGGAGTGAAGGCGTGCGAGCTGTTGAACGTCGACTCCATGTCGTGCTTGGCTCATTATCTGCATCTCATCGTTGGGTGTGAAATGGTCAAGAAGAAATCGGACAAGACCTCAAAAGCGATGATGGCTGCTGCCAAATCCGACGAAGACATTGATGCTGCCCTTGAGCAAATTGCCTGTGAGGAAATTGAGGCGTTTATCGAGGAGTCGTGCGCAGCGACTTGGGCTGACTTGGATAAGCTACGTCGCGTCGTGGAAATATTTCGCAAGCTTGCCGTGTATTTCAGCCGTCCGTGAAAGTATTGGATTGCTTACGAGGGCTTCAAACCAGCGTGCTTGTTCCTCAAACCGATTGTGCCACGCGTTGGAATTGCACGCATGCCATGCTACTGCGCATGCTGGAACTTCGAACTGCTCTTGACGATTTTTTTGGACACGTCGCTAGGACGCGTGAATTTTCAGACGCAAAATTTGAGCAACCAACAGCTGAACTTTGGCTTGTCATCCGATGTTTAGTTGTCTTGCTTGAACCATTCGCTGAAACAACCGACGGTTTAGGTGGGGGAGAAGTACCCCACACTGGTTATGGCTGTACCCGTCCTCCGCACAATTGAAAGGAAGATCAAAGACGAAGAAATGTTTGAGGCGATCACGCGTTCGGTCGGCAATGAAGCGTTTGTTCCGCGAGTGAAGACGTTGATGCAGTCCGTTCGGCGTACGTACGTCACGCTTTTCACGGAAAGGTTCAAGGAGAAACTACCTATGGAGCTGCTGTGGATTTCAGCACCGGATCCAAGATCGGCGGAGCTCAAGCATCTAAACCACGAAGAGGCTAAAACGGCTATTGCTCACCTCAAAGCAGCTGTGTTTGAGATGGGAAAAGATATAAGAGCCACCCAATCCACCAGTGAAGAAGACACGAGGGTGGCGAAGGATTCCTCGCGACCGCCATCGGCTGCAAAAAAGAATGTAGCTTGGCTTACAGAAGTATTTAGCGGAGGGACGGAGCGGTATGTGGAGGAAGCGCCCACCGTGGCGGATGATAAGCTGAAAGATGAGTGCGATTCTCAGGTTCGACAGTACCTGGGCGATGCACATGGAACTCGAGTGACTACTGATGCTCTACAGTGGTGGTCAACGCGGCGAGGGAAGTAACCGATCGTGGAGGCCCTAGCTCGGAAATGGTTAGGATGTATTGCAACTTCTGTGCCATCGGAGCGTGCGTTTTCCAAGAGTGGAAATGTAGTTACCTCGAAGCGATGCTCGTTGGACCCTGAGATCATTCGCGACACGTTGTTTGTCAGTGAAAATTATGAAGAGGAGGATGTCAACATTGATAGCAGTTCCGAAGAAGAAGACGACGACGACGACGAAGAAGAAGAAAACAACAACAATGGAGGAGGAGACGGCGGTGATGTTGATGGGTAGTTGACCCTAGTGTATAGCATTGGAATAGCTGATGTTTCACATTGCAAATATATTTGACACTCATGATCGGAGTATTGTACTGTCGGATTGGCTTTTACTGCACCCGCTTCGCTTAGCACTCAAATGCACGACCTCTTCCCCGTAGTTGATCATTGCTTGTTCATTTAAAGCGTCTTAGTTCCCTTGCCCGCTGCATGTTGTTACGTGTTGTCACGTCCGCCGCCCGACGCTCTAGGACTCCCGATGTTGGAGAAGCTGCAGTTTGCGAAGTCCAGCACCACCGCCACAATGATGCCGAACTGCACCGTGGGGTGCCACAAGGACTCGAAGGATTGGGGAGCCGAGCGCTGGCCTTCTCTCGTCGTCGCTGCTGCCAAGTCTTCGTCCAGCGGCAGCTTCTGCAACTGCTCCTGCTTCTCCTTCTGGCTGTCCTCCTGAACACCTTCGTCATCCCAGTAAGCTCCACGTCCACCGATTCGTGGTCAATGGGGTGCCGCTTGGTGGGCGTCAACAAGTCCGTCTGCGCGGGCGTGAGCTTGGGCTCGACGTTGTTCTCGGGGGACTTGTTGCTTCTGGAGGACCACAAGTTCTTGATACTGGACCTCCTCCGTCTTTAGCTGCTGCTGCTGCTGCTGCTTCTCCGTCGTCTTGTTTGCAGCGGCAGCGGCGTTCCCGGTGGGCACGAGACTCATATTGATCATGCCGAGGTACTTAGTAGCTGCATAGCGTCCGCAGCATGCCAATTCTGGTCACCCCCGCCCTGGTAGGACACGAGCTGCGCCACGCACGCGGAGAAGACGCCCGTCAAGAGGAAGGCATCCTAGTCCAATAGCTTGAGCAGCGTCGTACTGATATCGGCCGCCGATACGACCTTGGCCACTTTGCGCAGCTCTTCGTCGTTGAGTCTACGGTGACTGCACTATCGACACCAACCTTTATATCCAATCAGCAGCATATATTTGTATAATCTTAGCCAATGAAAAAATACGAATTTATCACCAATCAGAGGCGATTTGGCGTTATCTGTCGCTATCGCTTCGCTAACAGCCAGATAACTTGGCAAGTCAGATAACAGCTAACGTTGAAAGGCCTACGAGTACGAACGTATGCTGATCGTGCCGGAGAAGACAGTAGCAGCTCAATTAGTGGCCGCCCACTATTGGAGTTAGTGGTGCGGACCACGTTTGGAGAGTGTAGATCACTTCTTCCCTAAAGCGTAAGGCGCACTAACGTTTACAATACAATACAATACAATACAATACAATACAATACAATAAAATAGCACCTTCTCATTGGAGTGTGGCTTTCTCAGTCGGAGCAAGCAAAGAAAGGGTAGAGGTCGGTCAAAACATGCCCAAATCCCATCAATGAGTGCCGGGACTTGTAGCGCTGTAGCTCCGCCATGGCACCCTACCAGTCGGCACTTCCGTGTCTCCCTTAAAGTAGAGATCCTTTCGCACTAGCAGGTGGTCTCCCTGTTCGCTAAGGGTGCCTACAACGTGCTCAAATGCCATTATTCTGGGGGCCTTTTGCGAGGAGCGAGGCCTGTGCAAAGGCGGCCACCCCATCCCAGGATAGCCCAATAAAAAATCAAGATATTGAGAAAGCACAACTACCTAGTTGTAGTTCGCAGATCGTAAGAACTGTGTTTTGAGGAGGTGTCACGCGTCTGTAAACCCCGCTAGAATGACGTTGAATCTCTACAATAGTGACATGCAACGTCAACTTCAATCATGGTCGCAACCTCTCACTCTACCTGCGCTACCATTCAACGTCAACTTCAAGCATGCATGAAAGCCCACCGCGAGTATGCCAGTGCATGCATTAGTATTGGTGTCATTCCCGCAGGCTTTAGATACCATGCATTAGTTCAGCACGGAAAATATAAAATCCAAAACGTTGGTCATAAACTAAACAAGGCAGTATATTACAAAGCCATAGAATATGTTTAATTTTCATTTTAGCAAGAGTACGAGCGTGCTAGTCCATTGCAACATTTGTGGAAAACTTAAGTACCGATAGTTCAACCAACATTTCTAAAGTGTCGCTACACTTTCAACCTCACAGCGCTGCATTTATACTTGAACTTTTCCTCACGATGAGGACAGGTGAACTCTACATACCTGAATGCTCTTGTCGACTCGAACACCTTCGCCTAAATTGCTGGATACCATGCTCGGGTAATTCCTTGAGCATGATTTTAGCTTTAACAACCTTGTTTACCGCTCAAAATTACCACACCGCGCACCCTCGTTACTGTTGTTGTCCAAGTAAGTGATGACGCCCGGGTAGGTCAGCATCGTTCGAACTGCATGGTACTCATAAGCGATTTTGAGTGGCAATCATTTCACAGTATCAGGTTGTAACTATTTGGCTGTTGCGTCTACCCTATGAGTGTTGTAACATCGTTTTATGTCGCTTATTAGGCAAACATTAAACATAAAGCAACGAGCCACGATACTTTACTGCATTTAATGTTCGTCCTTCTATATTACCGGTGGTAGTGTAGGATGTCACGCTCCACAACAACTTTTACACAGCGGAAACCAGCATGTTGGTTTGTAGCTTGTGGTTGAGGGGGCAAATTCCGAAGTGAGATTAAATGTTATCGTCTCTCAAACTACTCTCTAGTCTTCCCCTCCTGCTTTCCTTCTTGTTCTCCTTGTGATCGTTGGTGCCTCTCATCAGACGGATTACTCCCGGGTTCCGATTGACTTGATCTCAGTATACTTGGGTCTCCCTGACCAGCCATTGGTATATCCAGAGCCCGGCTGCCGCCGGCTCTCCCGTCCCCGTCGGATCCTCCGAGTCATCGGCGGATGTGTCCACACGTTCTCCTCGTCCATGTGCATCTATTGGCGGCGCTCCCGAAGACTCATGAACACTCCCACTCGCCGCTAATGCTGCACGACCGTCCCGACGATTCCGCTTGCGCTGATCAGGTACTTGAGCCTCTTCGTCCCCAACGCCTTGGTAAGCATGTCCGCGAGCTGGTCCTCCGTTGGCACGTAGTTGACGACGATGAGTCCTCGCGACACATTTTCGCGGATGAAGTGATGCTTGATGTCCACGTGCTTGGTCCTCGTTGTACCCAGCGTTGCTTGCGAGGGCGATCGCGCCCTGGGTGTCCTCCCATACTTGGGTAGCTCCCACTTGCTTGTGACCCATGTCCTTGAGCATGGCGCGGGTCCACAGCACATCCTGCGTGCACAGGCTCAGCGCCATGTACTCGGCCTCCGCCGAGCTGAGCGCCATCGTGCGCTGGTACTTCGACTTGAAGACCACCGGCGCCCCGCTAATCATCACCATGATTTCCGACACCGAGCGTCGGTCGTCGAGATTGCTGCTCCAGTCGGTGTCGGTGTACGCCGTCACCTCGACCTTCTTCGTGTTTCCATTGTAGGCGATGCCGATGTCTTGGGTGCTCTTCAGGTACCTGAGCACGCGGATGGCAGCCTTCCAGTGCTGCTGCCCGGGGTTCTCAAGGAAGCGCGACAACTGGGTCACGATGTACGCCACATCAGGTCTGGTGCAAGTTGTAATGTACAACAAACAGCCAATAAGTGCTCGGTAGGGCTTCGCCTGCATTTCCTCGCGTTCCTTCTGAGTCGTCGGCGACGGAGTCTTCGACAACTTCATGCCCGACTCGCACGGGTTCACCACCACCTTGGCGTCCTGCTGGTTGAACCGCTTCACCACATCATCAATGTATCGAGTCTGCTTGATCATGAGAGTCATCGCCGATGAGTCATGGTCGATCTCCATACCAAGTATAAACTTGGCTTCGCCCAACTCCTTCATCTTAAACGCACTCTTGAGCGCCACGTTGACTTCCTGGATCTCGTTGCTCGTCTTGGCCGCGATGATCATGTCGTCCACGTACAGGTAGACATATACGAACCTGCCCTTCTCGCCCGTGACGTATACGCACTGGTCGCCACCGCAGCTCCGAAATCCGATGCCCACGAAGACTCGGTGGATGGTCTTATGCCAGGCATTCGCCGCCTGCTTCAGACCATAGATCGCCTTCTGCAGCCGGCACATCATGTTCTTCGCGTTGATGATTCCGTAGGGTACCTCCATGTAGACGCGCTCCACCAGCCCGCTGTTGAGAAAGGCGGTGTCCGCATCCAGCTGCTCGGTGATGTACGCCTCGGCCACCACAACCGACAACACCACTCGGATCGAGTTCATGTTGGCCACGGGCGAGTACGTCTCGAAGAAGTCCACGCCAAACTTCTGCTTAAACCCTTTCGCCACCAGGCGGGCCTTATACCTGATGACTCGGCCGTGCTCGTCGCGTTTCTTTGCGAACACCCAGCGACAACCGATCTGTCGAGCACTCGGTGTTCGACGGACCAGCGTCCATGATCCGTTGTCCGCGTGTGCCTTGAGCTCCGCATTCATTGCCTTCACCCACTCCGACGACTCGTCGCTCTGCATGACCTGCTGATACGTGGTGGGTGCGTCATTGGCATCGCCGACGTCTGTGGCGTAGGCCAGCACCGCCTCAGCCAATAGGCTGTCTTCGTCCACCCTGGGTCGCTTCGGAGACGGTGGCCAGAAGTGATCATCGTTGTCCGAGTCATCGGGACCATCTTCTTTCGACTCCTCACCACCGTCTGCGGAACTATCTCCAAGTAGTAGTACCGGTTCTCGGACACGCTGGGTCCGTTCCGCCTCCGGATGGAAGACCATGTCATCACTAAATACCGGTCTCGCGAGTCGTCGGTACGTGGTCAGCTCCTGCATGGATGGCTCCGGCGTCTCCGCCTCATGCATTTCCGCGTCCTCGACGGTCGCTTCCACCGATTCCATCGGCTCGTCGGCGGCAGGTCGTTGCATCTGCCACTTCATCGTCGACATCTTCCGTCGACTGAATGGTCGGCGAGTTCTCGCTGGGCGATGTGTCGTAGATGCCGTTCACCTCGCGCTCGCCCAGCTTCACCGACCTGGATACCTTCACCTTGTTCGACTCCAAGTCGTACACTCGGTAGCTTTTTGAGTCGTCGGCGTACCCAAGAAACATAAATTTGAAGCTCTTCGGCTCCAACTTGGTGCGTCGCGACTTGTCGACATGGGCGTAACCAATCGACCCAAAGACTCGAAGATGGTCCAGCCGAGGCTTCGACTTGAACGTCAACTCGTACGGAGTCTTGGTCGGGTGCATGCTGTTCGTCGACCGGTTGATCAGGTAGACAGCAGTGCTGATCGCCTCTGCCCACCATATAGAAGCCACGCCCTTGTAGTGTAGCATGCTTCGAGCCTTCTCCATGATCGTGCGGTTCATCCGCTCCGCCACGCCATTCTGCTGGGGGCTAAACGGGACCGTCTACTGATGCATAAACTCATTCAACCGGCAGATCTCAGTCATCGGCGTGTTCACGAACTCAGTGCCGTTGTCAGAGCGCAGGCATTTAATGCGCTGCCCCCACTGGTTCTCGTACAGCTTCATGAACGACTTGAACTTGGTCACGACCTCGCTCTTCTTGGTCAAGAAGTACGCACGACGTGTCGCGAGTAGTCGTCGACAAAGGTGAGCACATACCTCGCTCCGCCCCTGGACTTCGTCTTCTTAGGACCCATCACGTCCGTATGAACCAGTTCCAGCGGTCGCGTCGTCGCCGACGTCGACCGCGACGGGAAATGTGCGACCGTCTGCTTGCCCTTCATGCATCCTCCGCACAGGGTCTTCGTCTGCTGTTGAGTCGTCGGGATTCCGTCCGTCGCCTCGCGGGTCTTCGCCATAGCGTCTCCGTTCAAGTGTTCCATACGAGCGTGCCATAGCTCCCACTTTCCGTCGACTCCCGAGTACTCGGTGTAGTGCGCCATGTCCTGCTGGCAGTCCAGCAAGTACGCCTTGCCGACCTTCTTCCCCGAAGCGATCGCCTTCGTCTTGTCCCAGATGACGCACGACTTCCGCTGGAACTCGACAATCATGCCGCGTTCAGCCAACCTCCCAACCGAGAGTAGTCGCCGGTCGATTCCGGGGATGTGGAGCACCTCCACCATCTTGATGCGCTTGCCGTCGATGCCCGTTAGGCGCACTGACCCTTTCCCAGCCACGCGGATCTTCTTCCCGTCCGCGATTGTCACATACATGTCCGCCGACGACTCGTTGTACTCGAACAAGTCATCGCGGTGAGGCGTCATGTGCGCCGTCGCCCCACTATCGATCAGCCAACCCGCTGATGGATTCTCCGCCACAGCGAACACCGAGTCTTCGGCGGTGTCTCCATTTGCTTTTTCCGGGCAGTCCCGCTTGGTCACAGTTGAAGCAATTGCCCTTGAAGCCACCGACCTTTCGTCCGCCGATGCGCTTGCGGCCGAATGCCTTGCCGCCCTTGCCGAGCTTCCCGTTCTGGCCCCTACCTCCGAACGAGGTAGCCTTCAACGCGCGCTCCGAGGTCTCCTTCTTCTCCTGCCGCTCGTACTCCTTGAGCAGCTTCTCCTTCACCTCGATGAGGGTCACGTCCTTGGAGTTCTCGACGATGGATGCGATCACCTCGCACTCCACCGGCAAGCTGCTCGGCAGGATGACGAGTTGTCGGGAGTCATCGAGCGGCTCTCCAAGCGTCTGGAGGCCCACGATGAGCTCGTCGAACTTGTCCAGGTGCTTCGCCATCGTCGCACCGTCCTCCATCTTGAACTCATGGAGCCGACGAGTCATCGTGACCCGATTATGCATCGTCGTCCGGTTGTAGAACTCGCGTAGAGTATTCCAGGTTTGGATAGCCGATGTCGCCGACCGAATCTTCGTGTGGTGTTCCACAGCCACGCCTTGAGCGATCAGACCGAGCGCCTTCATGTCGTTGAGCATCGAGGCCTCCGTCATCTCCGTCGGGTCCTTCACCACTTGGACGTGCACCAGCAGCCCCTTCCTCGCGAGCGTCATACGCATCGCGAACTCCCAGTGGAAGTAATTGTCGCTTCCCAGGATGACTTCGGACTTCTTGCTGGACGTCGTCATGTCGGTCGTCGGGGAGGGCTTGAGCTTGTTGCGGCTGTTAACCTGTTGGTTTGTAGCTTGTGGTTGAGGGGGCAAATTCCGAAGTGAGATTAAATGTTATCGTCTCTCAAACTACTCTCTAGTCTTCCCCTCCTGCTTTCCTTCTTGTTCTCCTTGTGATCGTTGGTGCCTCTCATCAGACGGATTACTCCCGGGTTCCGATTGACTTGATCTCAGTATACTTGGGTCTCCCTGACCAGCCATTGGTATATCCAGAGCCCGGCTGCCGCCGGCTCTCCCGTCCCCGTCGGATCCTCCGAGTCATCGGCGGATGTGTCCACACGTTCTCCTCGTCCATGTGCATCTATTGGCGGCGCTCCCGAAGACTCATGAACACAGCACAATACTGTTTCGACCGATCCTACATAGCCCAGTAGAAATGATCAAGCCGTCGCCAACTGTTTGTGCTTCTTCCAATTCGAGTTTCATTATCAATGTTCGCCGAAATTATCTTAAATTTTGCCAATCTTTATGTAGAATGGGCCTCGTTCGGCACATGATCGTTTTTTTTTTCACTTTATTTCTGTCGCCAACATAACTGAAATGTTGAGCAAAATCGTTGGAGCTTTCGTATCTTGTTCGCTTCTTACCACTTTTTTTTTTCCTAACGACTGCACATATCATGTAGCGTCATATTTCCCGTTCCTGCCTTCCGAATGAGGCTACTAATAAATATTTAAAGCACCTCGAATTCCAGAGCTTCTTTGGGCGAGACTTTGTTGTTGCGATGCATAGATTATACGATTTTAATCCTTAGTTGAGCTTCTTTTTTACGATTGCAGCTGTCTAAAGCATACATTTTCTGGGCTTATCGTTATGATGACCATCAACTACCGGTATTACAATTTGCAACATTTAATCACAGTATTGTTTCCTATCCGACTATAAGCAAGATCACCAAACTAACTAACAGTGAGTAGCCAGAATAGCTTTTAGCTATTTTGCATCTAGGATGGTAGAAATTTTAAAATACTCGGGTCGGTAGTAAACGGCGTCTGCCTCTCTCGACAGTAATTGATCGTTCTACAACATTATATTTGACATTTTGTGCAGCCAGTGCTGCCTCACACGATCAATACTATGCGTGCGCAGCACTTTCGTTTAAAAAACGAAGTTTTGCCATGTACGAACTGCGAGGAGGAACGACCCGGGTCACCCTGTGAAAAGGCCTTGGTTTCTGTTACTAAATGTCTTTGTCCTTCTCATTGGACTAGAGGGGGGATGCGAAGCGAAGCTTGGCAGTAAGGGTTAACCCTTTAGCTACATGTACCAGACAATTTCTTAAACTGCTAGGTAGTGTTCTCCATTTACCTGTAAGTTGATTTTAGTTCCCGCTTACTTCCCGGAAGTGAGGTAAATTTACAGGTAACTGAGTAAGTGTCGATTATCCTGGATAGTATGCTTCTCTATAATACATCAACTTGTCTGGACTAGTCACTCCCGCAAGACTTGCATTTTCCCTTCTGCGAGGAACCGATGCGAGTCAGGAAAATAGCAATGTGGAGCTTGGTAGGTGGCTCGTTGGAATGCATCCAAGAATGAACGCATTTTACCTTCCGCCCCACTAAGCCCATCGTCGAGTGGATGATCGGAACTGTCAGGTCCGCTTCACCGTGCTTGCCAGTTTGAGACGGAAGCAGGTATGCCGAACCTAGCAGCTCCTTCTTTCGCATCGCTCTGGTAGCTGTAGATGTCCAACGTCCACCGATGCGAGAGCCCGCTGCTCGGGGTCCAACTTCCGTCCACAACGGCAGCGGGTACTTTGACACGGAACACCTGGGCGTGTGTGCTGTCCGTGAAGTGCACCGTGGACGAAGCCCCCGCTGCTGACGAAGGCAGTGCCTTGTGTATCGCTCGAATGTAGTCGGCCCGAATCGAAGACGCCTTCACATTCCCCAGAGCAAGATGGCCGTATTGGAGCGAAGCGCTACCTGAGTTTAGTGACTCAATAATGAGG